TTCAAGAAGCCCCAAATACTGGTGAAATAACCAAAATGCAGGTATTTCACTCAGCTGGAGATATTACTAAGATATTACTGGATACGTAATAGCTAATATTTATTAAGCACTTGCTACTGCTGAGAAATTCACACCAATTATCTTCGTTCCCTTAAGGAGCACCTGAACAAGTACTATTAGTACTCTCCATTTTACAGGTACGGAAACTAAATTTTATAGGAAAATAACAAGCTCAAAGTCAATGACGTAGATTCTTGAGCCAGAGTTTAAACTGGTGGGCTAGATGCATAACCATATACATCTTGTGGCTGTATCATACTAGGTTCTACGAAAACTAACAAGGGCATAGTCATTCCTCAAGGGGCATACATACTAGTCAAAGCAGGAAGGCCAGACAACCATCAGCTATAATGCAACAAAACCATCTGCCAGTATGGTCTGAAAGGCACAAACTGTTACTAGAGTCCTTCTAGTTAGGAGTCTAAAAAGGATATATGGAAGATGCGGACTTTTTAAATGTGGCCTTAAAGTCTAAAGAATGGACAGGATTTAAACGACTGCTGGCAAAAGGGAAAAGGTTAACTCAGACAAGGTAACATCAACAAACAGCACGGACCCAGGGAAGTTTGGAGCATGCTCACAAGACGGGGGCATCACGTGATTAAAGCAAAGGTAAAGGGTAAGACCAGGAAAGCAGTAGTTTGAGACCAGATTTTGTATCATTTGGAACTTTATCTGTAGTCTGTACGGAGGTCTACTGAGAATTTCTGTGCATGGTACTGTGGTAAGAATTCTTTAGAAAGGTAATTTTAGTAGCACATTGTTGCAGGACTGACAGAGCAGGGGGAGTGAAAGAATGCACATTTTGTAGGACACTTAAGACAGTTCTGGTACCTGGTCACAAGATCCAGACTCTGGGAGAGAAATAGTAGGAATGAGATTCAGAAACAGAAATCAACTCAAGCTGGTCTTGGCAAAATAATGGTACCTGAGCAATGTAAACGACAGCATAAAAAGCTTGTTTTATGTCTCAACTTGTTTCCCAAGAGGCTGGGAAACATTTTTAACTGAAATTTAGAAACTAAGCTGTTTGAAAAGCCCACTGTGATGCATGCACACAAATATTTATGTACACATACAAATCCACACACACTTATATAGTGAGAACATCTGAAATAAAGATCTAGAACATATAAGTTAAAATCAAGAGATAACTTGAGACTTGACTATGCAAGTAATAAGGCAATTTATTGTTTATAGTTTTGTTAAATTTTGTCTGATTTTAGTTTTTATTAAACAGTTACATAGGTGTATGTATATATATATATATATAAATTTAAAATAGAACCTTCTTTTTCTCAAAGTACTCCCTTAAAGCAGTAGATCTCATTAACTGGCCTTAATAAAAGATAATTTTTTGCATATTAACAGTGGGCAGCTTCACCTTAATTGACTTTAATTACAAAGTTTCCATTTGACCCAGTTAATTTAAAAAAATACTTTGAATTATTCAATCCTTAAAGAATTTTTTTAAAAAAAAGTATGTGACAAGAGAAAGATGATCATTTTTAATTTCTTCACATATGTTAAAAGATTAGACAGCAAGCCACAGCTTTCCTGTTTTGTACAATCTTCTCAGACCCTTCTGAATTAACAGTTTGAAGAAATGAATTCTCTGTATCCCAAAGGACTTCCTAGAATGATATGTGTTAATGATTAGAACAGGAATCTTGAAAAGCTTATCACACATTTTCAAGGAAGAATGTTCACAGATGGTTAACAGAGGGAAAACAGGAAAAATCGGTTCAATCATAATGACTTAAGCTCTGGATCTGCTCCTCAGGGAGAGGAAGAAGTTGTACTACAGTCTTTAAGTGGCTTCTGGCAACATAGTGCTACAATTTATTCACAGTGGATACCAAGTATCCATTATCTGCAAGGAACTAAACTACAAAGTCTTGCACCTAGATCGTACCTGCCCTTGAGAGCAACAGCTACTAGTCCCTTTTATTTCACTTCAAATTCTTCACTGGATGTGAGATGGTAAATAAACCAGCTGTTGGGACTTAGCCTCCATCTCCAGAGGCATTGTTCAAACCTGCACTGTCCAGTATTCTAGCCACTAGCCACATGTGACAACTAATCACTTAAAATGTGGCTAGTGTGGAGAAGTAATGTAAGTGTAAAATACACAGTGGATTATCAAAGATTTAACAGGAAAAACAGAAGGTAAAATATCACAGTAATCCTTGGTATACTGGATCACATGTTAAAATAATATTTTGGAGCTACTGGGTTTAAATATTTAAATTAACTTTATGTTTCTTTTATTCGTTAAAATTTGGCTAAACTTACCATTACTTATGTGGCTCACATTGCATTTTTTCTTGGTCTAAACTCTGAAGGACCTTATCCACAGGTTACTATGACCTCTCTTCATAGCCCTGATTGTAAAAAGCAGAGTGGTCAGCAAGTATTCACATTCCGTAATTCCCTTCTTCTTGCTAATTCTGTCTGGCCAACCGTTTACCTTCATTATTACTCGAAACCATATTCTTCACTGTGAGGGTTAGCAGTGATTCTTAACAGATTCTGGATTTTGGATAAGGAAGGGGGATGGTGATTCTATTCAGTCTTTTTTCAATAGTTGAAACAGACACTATGTCACATGGAGAAATACACACACTTCCACACTAATGAATAGGACATGAAAATGCCCGCACAGTTCCCAAGCCAGTGAATGGACTTTTTACACGTGTTCTCTTTCCTCCTCACTACCTTTAAAACAAGATGACTTTTGCTCGGCTTATCAGTAGTTACTCAATTTCTGCTGTCCATCCTTGACTCTTGTGAGTCATGTGACTATCCAAGCAGGGAGCTACAGCAAAGAAAGTGAAGTAGCCATCAGCCTCAGAACTAGTCATATTCATTAAGACAGAAGAATGGAAGTCTTTATAATTCCCTTAGACATCAAGAAGCATTTTTTAAAAGAATATAGTCTTACTTCTCTATTCATCTCATTTCATTCCTTCAGAAAAACTGGATTTTGTTAAGACTTCTTAAAAAACCACTCATGAAACAACTTGTACAAGAACTTGTAAAACTTTACTAGATCTGGATAATAAAAAAGTTTAAAGAAGAGCAACAAATTAAACAAGGGTATTCTGAGGCCAGTATAAATACATATGCATGTATAAAACGAGCTGGATAGTTGAAAATAGCTTGTCAAAAAATACCATCAGGAAAACATCCTTTTAGGTTTTAGAAATCCTATTTTTACACACATTTTTGTTCTAGCTTTGATTTATTAATAGGTGATTTTGATTAGAATTTGATTTTCTAACAGAGAAATATTGATACTGAAGTTTGGTATTTTAAGCAAACTATTTTAAAGTGGAAAGGCACTTCAGGAGTCTTATACCCTTGTTTTACAGATGAGTTTTATGTGCTAAGGCCAAAGTCACGTAGTTACAAAGTGACAAAAGCAAGACTGAACGCGTGTATGCGGACTCCAGATTCAGTTTGTCCCATTGTAATAGGCTTAGTCCTTCTTTATCTGATTTAAGAAAAAAAAAATTCAGCTCTATACAAAAGACTATGTTATCAGCACTATTAATGCCCTTGTTCTATTTACTGGAGTGAAAGTATTTCAGTAACATGAATAGATGTTAACATTGATAGGTGGAGGTGGGCTGAGTGTTGGATACTAAAAAGGTTGGTAGCTATCAGAGGCTCATATAATTTACTTGATATTTCCAACAGATTCCTTTTTCAGTGAAGACTGTCAAGAGGAATGAAGACTGGAACGGGGTCAGCCTCTGTTACTCTCTTTGGCTTGATCGAGAATGGAAATATTTATTATTTTATTTGGAGGTGCTGAATATTCTAATGAACATACCGCAGAGGAATGGAAGATTTTGACTGGAATAACTGAGTTATTAATCTACTGTATTAACTGCATCCTTGGAAGTAATGTAATGAGGTTAATAGTAAAACATCGTTGTAGGTTTTGCTCAGTATTAATGGGACAAGATGGCATGTGATATATATTACTATGCATTGCTCACTTCTCAAAAGTTTCTAAGTTATCTCTAACAGAAGCAACAGAAGTCCTATTCCTGCTCCAGTTTCTTCTTCTTGAGGGAGCATATATTATTTTGCATCTTTCCGGATCTTCTTTTCCTGTTCATCAAGTCTTTCTTAGTAACCTATTGTGTGTTAGGTACTCTTCCGAGTTCTAGGAGTCTAAAAATCAGTAATGCCTACAGTAGGCTTAACACTTCAGCTAAAACAAGCAGAAGCAAACATATCCTGAGAATACTGATATATTTGTTGTATCCAGTAAGTGCTAGAGAGGACTCAGTTACACATAACCATATGTGACTGCTCTGGGAGGTGGAGCTGGTAAGCTTAAGAGGGGCATCTTGAAGAACACTTCAAAAAATGAAATCTCTGATGCCAGTCATAACTTAAACTTTCGTTAGCATCAAGGATTAGGTAACAGCCATCTGAACAAGATACAGTATCAGTAAGAAGGGTGCCAAAGACAAATTTCATTTTACTTCAAATGTGCTTTATGTTATCCTTGGTTATTCACCAAATCATGGGGAATTTGAGCATGGTACCATTCATTATTAGTTACGACCACAGATGATCTAACCTTAAGTTTAAAATGAAAAACAGAAAAGGCCAAGAATAAATTAAATACACACAAGTCTAGGACTCTGAAGATAGAAGATGAGCAAAATCACAGGGCTTGTAACAGAAGCACAAAAATACATTTTTTCCTAATTCCTAAATTGGACACTGGTAATAGGGATGAGAGTAAAACAAGTAAAGGGAAGTATTCATTCTCTCCTTTACTCGAGACAAGAGCATTTCCCAGAGTAGAATCAAAAGATAAATGTTCTTTGGTTTATGATGATTTCGGAAGAGAACTTAACCTTCATTTAGTCATTTATAGCGAAAGAGTTCAGCTTTTTCTGTCAACTAAAAATAACTAATGGATAACAGCATCACCCATGTATATCTAGCAACAAGAATTTCTTGTGATTAAAAATGCTGTTAAAAGATCTCTAACATGTTTACATACCCAAATAATTTGTTACTAATACTTCACAAGAAATATTTTATTACTGTAATCACGAAATCATAATTTCTGTACAGGAATGTATAAGTGAACATTAATGCACTGATAATTCACTTCATAAAGAGGGCGAACACACTACAGAATGTATTGTAAAGAAAAAATACTGTAAAATTTTCTGGCCTTGCAGTGCACTTTTTAGTGCAAGTATTTAAGACACAATAGTGTTCAATTCAGCAAAGTACTGCAGAATGTCATGCCACAGTCCGCTTAGTTCAGAGAGGGTCAGGACATGCAGCTTGTAATAAAATGTCAGAGTATATATACACATATATGTATATAAAAAACCACATGTAATTCATAAAATATAGAGTGGTTTATTTAGATGGTTTTAAATGATTTCACTGTGGAATTCAGCATAACTGGAACAAACATCCAAGATCTTCGTAACAGAAATCTTCTTGCTAGGCAATGGCTTTGGCTTCAGGCAAGAATGCCTCCCAGTATTTTATCAGCTGCGGATCATAACCAAAGATATTCTAATTACCTTTTTGTCATTTACATGCATATATTCCGTCCAGCATATAAAAATGTCTCTATGAGTAACTAACAATGATTAACATTTACTAAAGTCTAGTTCTATGAGGGATCATTTAAATTTCCCTATCTGAAGTCTGTCAATATAATTCATGTATAAATTAATTACTACTGGCTTATTTCAGTTTTTGAGGGAAATGATAAAATTTTTAAAAAACCTTATAACTTAAGATTTTCTTTGTTTATGCAAAATTGTATATAGAAACAGATTGTTAATGTAAATTAAATGAGACTACCTTCAATAATAAAACTGCAACGAACCTTTCCAATATAAAGTTTTAACATACCCTAATTCAGAGGATATTCACATTTTATGTTACTCTAGCCGAAAACAATAAAAAAAAGTGGGAGAAAAAAAGTATTGCAAGAAAGGGACATGTGGTCTTCTTTTGAGAGTAGAAGGAATTTGCTTCAGTGTTTCTTCCATAGTCCATAGAATTAGCGAAAGTATAAACTAAAGTTACATTTAAAACAATTCATTTAAAAACAAATTCATATAAATTATTATTTTTTAATGAAGTATTTAAAGACTAAATATAATTTGAAGGTATAATGTCATCTCAATTAAAAATCAATCTATTATATATTATATAAGCAAGTTCCTAATCCACATATTTTAAAGCCAAAGAAATTCTTCTATTCAAGACATTAAATAATTTGATTACTCAAATTTATATTAAAGCATACTATTATCTTGTTATAGATTTTAATTAAAATCCATGGTCTTCTGTACTCTAGTTAAGGAGACAAATGCCATCTGTGGCATACCATCACCACCAACTATACACAAAATAAAACAAAAATCACAATACAACCCCCACCCCAGCCTTAAAAAAAAGCCAGTTTTTAATTTAAGTTCTGTTATGGAAGAGAACTTACTGAAGAATTTACTCAAACAGGTGTGATCACTAGGGAAATAAAACTAGGAAGACAGAAAAAGGGAAACGCTGTTCAGCAAGTTTCTCCTTGCCATAATCTGGGAAAAATGTATCCCAACTGGTGTTCAGGAGCAGAGGCAAAAACCACCTGAGAATTTCCAATTTAACTACCATGTTTTCCTCTGTGCTTATCAGTTTACTCCATTTCTTACTCCTCCGTTAAGTTTAAAAATTCCTTTTTTAAAAAAATATTTTATTCACCTGACAGAGAGAGAGCATAAGCAGGCAGAGCGGCAGGCAGAGGGAGAGGGAGAAGCAGGCTCTCGCTGAGCAGGGAGCCCGATGTGGGGCTCGATCCCAGGACCCTGGGATCATGACCTGAGCCAAAGGCAGCTGCTCAACCGACTGAGACACCCAGGCGCCCTAAAAACTCCTTTCACTGACATCTTTAAAATGAAAAAGTATACCAAAAAGTTCTAGAAGTTTGTTAAGTTATAAAAAAAATTAGCTTACCTGTTGCTGTGTTTGTACTAATGATTCTAAGTACTTGATAATAACAGTTTTAAAATCTTTCACTCGTTCTTTCTGTAGTACAATAAAGAAGAAAGTCTATCAGTACAAAACTAAATTTGAGTTTACTATAAAATCACAGCAAAAAATGACGTCATTATACTCGCCTCAAATCTTCCCACTTCTTTTCGAATTGTTTTAGAGATCTGTTCAAAATCTCTTTCTCCTTGTTGTACTTTTGCCTCCCACTAACAGAAACAAACAAAAATGCACATATTTTTAATTCCTGTAAGGAAAATATTATAGAACTAGCTGTCACAATCACTGACTTAATGTCTGTAAACCCTGAGGAAGCTCAATAATGGCAAAGCCCAATTTAGGATCATTCAAACTTTTATTTAACTTTTCAGTACTAGAAATGCCTATCAGCTTAATTTTCATTAATATTTCACTGTCAGATATACTCAAGATTAAATCAATTACAATCTCCACAGCTTAATTAAATACAACTAAGACAGATGAAAAGATTTTGAGTATAAAATTCACTATCAATTTAGCAGTGTTGGGGTAGTTTTATCATTTCCTTTTGATATCATTAATTATTCCACAATGCATCAACAACATTCTGCCAAGTTCAAGAATACATGTTCACCACAATTTATATGCCCATGGAAATACTTTAAGAAAACCGTACGACAAACATTTAAAAACATTTTTTAATAGTAAATGTTCGGATTTAAAAAAAAAGTGGAATTATGGTCTACTGAAGATCTACTGGTAAACATAAAGTTCAGTACAGAAACAACAAAACATTGTGATTAGTGGCCAATGGAGTAGCTAAAATAAAATAACTGAAACTTAAAGCAATGAAATGATATTTTCCCACCATGTAACCAAAACAGTGGTACATACTCTTCAAAGAGCAGGTACATTTACTTTTAGTAACATAAAGGTTGTCCTACCTCTTCAATTTCCTTATTGAAGCATGGCAAAAAAAGTGTATAAATTATAATAAACTTATACAAATTTACTAAAATACCATATATAGTACATATATATGGGGGATAATGTTGCTTGGAAAGCTAAATGTGGGGCAAGTCTATGCTCTAAAACTATTCTTAGATACAAAATAAGTAATTATCTGAAATCAAACTGACCATCTCAAAAGAACTGTGTAATTACTAAATTAAAGGTTAATTTAAATCTTTTCCTTGTGTGCTTCTTTATCCGTTCCATAATCATGTGGAAATAACAAAGGGCACTGGAGATTTTAATGATGATCAAAATGTTAAAGTAATTCTAACAGTTCATAAAATTATGGAAAAATGGCTAGTGTTAAATGGTTCAGAAAAAAATTTATGAAAAATTATGTACATATGAATGACTCATGCAAAATCTGAGTAAAGCGATAAGTAAAGCATTTTATATTAATCACCTCTCTTATTTCATTTTTAGCTTGCTGTATTTTATCTGGTTTATTAGCAACCATCATTTTTGCCTCAGTTTCACGTTTTTTGAGCAAAGTAATTTGAGCATCTTCCCATTTCTGCCAGCACTTCATTCGATGGTCAAACACACCCTATAAGTGAATGACATAATGCTAGTAAGTGACAGTTAACACTGAAATACTTTCAAAATACTAGAAGTGCTGTGAAACTGAAAACAAACACAAAAAAACAAGTATTTTACACACTATTCTCATATACCGGGATAATGAAAATAAACATGCCGATATAAAAGAAATGTCCATTTTCATTTGCTTAAAAACAAGAATTAAAAAAGGCTCCTGTGACCGGATGAAACAGAACAGCTCTGAATAAACAAAAACCACATACAAGATGCATTTCACTAGCCTTTTGGGTTTTATATTTGACTTATAATAGGATTTCTAACAGAGTTTTATGCTTTGAAGAAAGATCAATAAGAAAAAGCTGGTATCATAACTACACTGTAAGTTTTCCTACTAAATAATATCGAAAGCAGATTTAAGTGTTGGAAACAGGCCAGAAATTGCCAAAATAAAATGAGAAAACCTGAAAGACAACAGGAAGTGAAGAAAAATGTGGAAGAGATGACCAACAAAAAATAAAACAAAGTAAAGGTACAACACAATTAAAAAAAAAAAAAAAGAAAGAAAGAAAAAGAAGAAAGGAGAGCTAGACCTATACAAAATGAACAGGGCAAACAAGCAGGGGTGCTTGTGCGTGCGTTTATGTGTGTAAACAAACACACACACCCCCACACCTATCTAGGAGGCAGGACCAAATGAAGAACTGGACAAAAAGACCGTAACAGACCAAGTCAACCAAATCCACTAGTCCTTTCACAGGGTTTAGCAAAACAAGAGCAGGTTGATGGAAGAAATGAAATACGAATATGAGAGTAATTAGAATTTCAGGAGAAAAGGGGATGGACAGGATAGGAGAAATTCAATAGTAATTCCTTTCCTAATTTGATGCTGGGGATACATGTGTATTATGTTAGTATCTGCTAACTGAACAAGTGAAGCAAGCGTTAATAAACGGGGTAAAGAAGCAGAAAGCACTAAACCAGAGTTATTTTCATTATTCCAAACAAAGAACTTTTTGGATCAAGAAACAGTAAATAAATACATGTTCTTACAGGGACTTGCTGAAGAGAAAACTATGGAGATAATTTATTTTAAAAATGTAGGCTTTGGGGGCTCCTGGGTGGCTCAGTTGGTTAAGCATCTGCCTTTGGCTCAGGTCATGATCCCAGGGTCCTGGGAGTGAGCCCCGAGTCAGGCTCCCTGCTCAGTGGGGGGTCTGCTTTTCCGTCTCCCTCCACCAACTCATGCTCTCTCTTTCTCTCGCTCACTCCTCTCAAAAAAAAAAAAAAATCTTTAAAAACAATGTAGGCTTTGGAACAAATCAAATTTGTATTCAAATACTAGCTCTGTCACTCTATGAACCTGGATAAATTAATTTCTATAAGCCATAGTTCCCCCAAATACAAAAGGAAGAAAATGAGATCTATATTAGTGGACTGGAAATAAAATGAAAAATATGTAGCAGTGACTGAACCTAGCAGATGTTTAGTAATTAGCAGGTACTATTATGGATGACTTCTAAACACACACATACATGTTAGAGGTGATTAACTCGAGATTTCTACTAAAAGTGCAAATAACAACTTAGTAACATGGAAAAAGACCATAATCAGATTGCATTCATATCATATTGTGTATTTTAAAAATGTGGGCAATAGCACTGAAAACTTCAAATCCACCAGAAACCAAAGTATTTTTTCCAAAGACTGTACATATTTCATATTCACCAGGATAAAAGATGTCCTGGGCAAACTGATAAATCAAAGCACCTTATCTACCAGTACTTAAATTCCACTTTTTCTTCTCACATTACTAAGTATATCTTACTGTCCCCTTTGCTTTTCTTATAGTTACGAGACAACGTTTTCCTTAAGACATTTGTTATTATAAATTAATTTTGCCTCAGCCATATTAACCTGGGACAAAACCACAAAAATAAAAGTAATACAGCTACCATAACTAGATTCAGAAAGTCACTACCATATAAAACAAACACATCCTCGCCCCTCACCCTTTACACACTTACACACACACACACACACACACCCCAAAAAATAATTTTAAGATTTATATTCCTAGTCTTTTGGGGAAGGGGCCATATCAGTTCCTTGTTTATAAACTCCTCTGTAATAACAATTTGATTACTTAAAATATGTACCAGTACAGGGCAAAAGGTAACCAAAATGCACTTTAATTTCAGTATTTGCTTAAGTTCTCAATATATATAAATTGGCTTTTTTGGTGATACACTAATTTAAACTCATTTGGTCTCTGTCCAATTTATTAACTCCTAAGATTCCAGAACCATCACATGTTTATTATGGCAAAGATGGAGGAGCTATAAAATAAAGGTAAAACTACTAGAAGTCAGGTTATTTCTGGAAGAAAAAAGCAATCTTAGTTCTGTAAGAAATAACTTTTTCTTCGTTTGTTTTCCTACCCACCCCTGGAACACACACACACACACACACACACACAAGAATCAAAACCATACTTTATCTAAAAATGCCACCTTAAAGATCCTAACTGTATGTCAAGATGCTAGTCTGCTCTAGTAGAACCAGCCACTCCTCTAAGAGGGACAGATTTATTACAATGACGACCCACTACGGACCTCCATTCTCCTGCCAATTTATGTTATACATTTGTATGCAAAATGGTCTAGCTTAGACAAGTCTGCAGTTGTGGAACATTTTTCCTGGCCCATCAAGACATTGCAATTTTAATTTTAATTAATATCACATTCCAATTCACTGAATCTGAAAGTATATGGCTCAGCTTCCTGGAATCCTAAAAGGATGCTGATTACTTGCAGCCAAACAATGAGGCTTTTCAACTCCTTGGGGTGCCCATCTACTGGGCTGGTTTAAAAAATATTTGATATATTTTATGAATTTAGATTCCCTAATTCTTTTTAAGAGTTCTAGTGCTAGGGGCACCTGAGTGGCTCAGCCATTAAGCGTCTGCCTTTGGCTCAGGTCATGATCCCCGGGGCCTGGGATGGAGCCCTGCATCGGGCTCCCTGCTTAGCGGGGAGTCTGCTTCTCCCTCTGCCTGCCACCCTGCCTACTTGTGCTCTCTCTCTCAAACAAATAAAATCTTAAAAAAAAAAAAAAGAGTTCTAGTGCTAAACACATTGAAAACCATTATCTTCAACCCCTGACCCTACTCTAGTGGTTCACAGAAGGCCAATACATGAGAATGCAAGCAACGAGTTTACTATTTAATATGTTAGGTAACAGTGCTAGCCAAAATATGGAGTCCTGGAAATGAGAGGCCATGCACTGTACAAAGAGGAAAGCAGGAGTTTCCTGGACATAAGGCCAGGCATAGGTAATATTGTAAATGGCTGAAATTTATCTTTCTTTAGGGCCCAAATTTCTATTGGTCTTAGTTCCTTCCCTGCTTTGGCTCTACATCTAATTCTCAAAGTACTCTTAGTTTCAAATTTATCATCAGAAAAGTATTTTCAGACACCTGGGTGGTGCAGTTGGTTGAGCATCCGACTCTTGGTTTCAGCTCAGGTCATGAACTCAGGGTTGTGAGATCGAGTCCTATGTCAGGCTCTGCACTCAGCAAGTAGTCTGCTTTGAGTTTCTCTCTCCCTCTTCCTCTGTCCCCGCCCCCCACTGTGCTTAGGCATGCGCTCGCTCTCTCAAATAAATATTTTTTAAAGAAGTAAAGTATTTTCGATATGGATAAAAACGAAGGGCTAAGTAGTATTAAAGAGCTTTTAGAAATATATAAGACAAAACACAAGAGAAAATTGGGTAAAGGACATGAAGAGTTCACATACACACAAAAAGAAATACAAATGGCTTATCATCTGTACAGATGCTTAAATTCACACTAACCAAAGAAATTTATTATTTTTTTAGTTTTATTTTTTAAAAAAGATTTTATTTATTTGACAGAGAGAGACACAGCGAGAGAGGGAACACAAGCAAGGGGAGTGGCAGAGGGAGAAGCAGGCTTCCTGCTGAGCAGGGAGCCCGATGCGGGGCTCGATCCCAGGACCCTGGGACCATGACCTGAGCCGAAGGCAGATGCTTAACGACTGAGCCACCCAGGCGCCCCTAACCAAAGAATTTTAAACGTATACAAAAAAAATACCTTCATCATTGGGTGGAAGAAAGAACACGTATGTTGATGATAATCTCTTTGGACAGTAATATGAGAATATCTATTGAAATTTAAAATTCATATACTGTTTGGTCAAGCCAAAGTAGAGTTCTACTTCTAGGTATTATATGCCCAAAGAGTTGTTTTCAAAGAACAATATTTACAACTAGACTGATTAAATAATTTAAGGTACTTTTACATGCTATCTAACAGAACATGCAAACATTAAAAAGAATGTAACATATCAACATATGCTAGCATGGACACCTCTCTAAACTGTAACAGATGAAAAAAGTAGGCAAAGAACAGCACATATAGTGTGTTCCTTCTTCAAGAAGGAAGAGACGGAGGGAGGGAGGGAGGAAGAAAGAAAAAGAGAAAGAGATGGGAAGAAAAAAGAAAATTAGCTTCATACACATGCGTAGCTAATTCTGTAAAGACACAAGAATCTAACAGCATTTGACTAAGAGAGACTAGTGGTCTTGGATAGAGAACTTGACCTTTTTGGGCTGTAAGATTTATTATGTCCATTTATCACTTTTTCAAATACAAATGAATCAGTTTAAAACAAAAACCAAACCAAACGTAAAGAGCACAAAAATTCCCTGTCATGCTATTCTGTAATTTCTCAACTCCGTGGTGCAGATGACCTGGGCTAGTTTTCAGCAGAAAACACAAAATCAACATAAAAGAGCTTTTCTATCTCAAGGTATAGCTTGAGCACAGCTCTAATTTCCTTTTAGTCAGTGAGTCACTAATTCAGTTCTTCCCAAACTCCATTCCATTTATGTAAAAAGATATTAAATGGAAAAGAATTCCTGTTCATTTCAATTTGGAAGTCTCTGGATTAACCTAAGTTAAATGTTTTATTTTTTACTTGTAGACAGCTCTGAGCATTTTAGTGCTCTGTGAATCTGTAGGACAGGGATACTGTATATTATCTCCCAAACTCAGCTGATCGTGGTACCTCTTTTAGTGTCACTGTTATGCCGGGAAACAGGAATCCAAGTGTAATTTCGGAGAATGTAAAAATACGTAAGAAGATTTAGGCAGCATGAGGCTGGCCCAGGTGAGGCAAGGGCTCATCACCCAGGACACTAGCAGGCCATTCCCACCAGGGAGTGTCCTCCCAGGTTAGCTCTTCTCAGCCAGTACTCCTTCTCACAGACAGTGCCCAGCTTCCCTTTGTGGACCCATAGTTATTTTGAAAGGTGCTCTACTTTTTTACAGCAGCCCTCATGCTAGTGGGAATTCTGGAATGAGGTTGAGAGTGGGTAGGAGAGAAGCAGGAACCATTATTTGTGAACCGGATTTCTGTTTATCACAAGCTGCTGATATACAATGAAGTATACTCTAATTTAAACTGCTATCTATATTAACTTCTATTTTTAAAACAATTTTATTTATTTGACAGAGAGAGAGAGAGAGAGAGAGAAGAACAAGCAGGGGACCAACAGAGGGAGAAGGAGAAGCAGATTCCCCGCTGAGCAAGGAGCCCGATGTGGAGCTCGACCCCAGGACCCCAGGATCATGACCTGAGCCGAAGACAGAGGCTTAACTGAGCCACCAGGCACCCCTATATTAACTTCTTTAAATAACTAAAAAGAAAAATTAACCACGAGGAATATAAAGAGTAACATCTAAGAGTAAATACAGGAAAACCTGGTAATTTACCAAACCCAAGATATCACCATTCTGAAGTGCTAAGAACCTTCTAGCAATAATTGTCACCATTAGCTTGAGAACAGGGATCATAAATATGCAGTGTATCAATGTTCTGACTGCAGATGAATACTAATTTGATCATAGACTTTAGCTAAAAAAAATTTTGCATAAGGAAGCAAGGAAGAAGGTCTCATAACTTTCAATAAAAGATAAATTCCCAGTTCCTCTGCCCCATGATAATTAATGCTCATAACAATAATTGAAAGACGCCATAAGATCTTAAAGCACCTTATGAAACACAGGATAGATAAAATAACATGCAGTTTAACTGTCTGAATATTGGAGATACCTGTAGAATACCAATTTTCATTAGTTAACTCGATTACTTTCCCAACTACTCAGAAACTGAACTGTTAATCCTTAAAATTACCACTAAACACAACTTATTATCTAATCTAGTCCCATTTCATCTACAAATACATAGTAACTACACACTTCAGTATATGCACAGAATGTCTGCTTATAGTCCAAATGCATGCTAAAAGACACCATTAAACATACTCATGCAACAATCAGCTCTGGTTTTGTTCTGCTTCCTGTTATACCTTTACTAATGATAACAAAGCCCATGACTAGTTTCAGTTCATGCTAGAATGAACAATAAATGCTACCAGTTAGTTGTAAACTTATACATGTAAATATGTAAGTAAATCTGTACTGGTTTTATCTTATTTGGCATTTCTTAGATCTCTTAAAAACATCAATTATATCTACCGTATTGTCTGAGTCATAGTGGAAGAAAATATTAGGCTATGAATCGTCATCTTGAAACCATTACATGTACTGGTAGAACACGGAACTTACACACCTAAATACATGTTATAGCTTTTGGTTATAGCTAACCAAATTCTTCTAGAAGCAAACCACAAAAGTGAGAAGAACTCAAGAAGATTGCAGAATAAAGCTTACTTTCACTGCGGCAATAAGACGAATGTAGTCACTAAGCAGTTCTGAAAACATATAAAAGTCAGCAAAAGCTTGTTCTTGATGTAACTGGTCTATCTTCTCCTCCACCTCCGCAAGCTGAGACAAAGCTCTAGATAAAGCAGTATGGTCCTCTGAGTTACCTAACATGGCGGCACTTTTAGCAAAGGCAGCTGTGTTGGCTGAAAGCTCTGAAAACAAAAAAGGATTCACTTTTAGTGTTCACTAGTAAAGTTTTTTAAATATTGCGATGGTTTTTCTACCTTCCCTCTAAATTTTATCAGTTCGTGTATCATTCAAATAATTATTCTGAAATAATTAACATAAAACAAGCAGTCATTAAAATGCCTTTGGCATAAATGCCAACTGCTCAGAGCTCTACTGAAAGTTAAGAAGAACATTAAAGAAAAATTAAGAAGAACCACTGCCTATATTCCCAGGGGAGGAACTACATTTAATAATTTAATTTAATAATCAGCCTCCCCTTTCTTCCTAAAGTGCTCACTGCTTTTGTGTATTCCTGCAAAAGATAAAAGATTTTTTTATTTTTTTTTTAAAGATTTTATTTATTTATTTGACAGAGAGAGAGAGCACAAGTAGGCAGAGTGGCAGGCAGAAGGAGAGGGAGAAGCAGGCTTCCTGCTGAGCAGGGAGCCCGACACGGGGCTCGATCCCAGAACCCTCGGATCATGACCTGAGCCGAAGGCAGCCGCTTAATCGACTGAGCCACCCAGGCGCCCCTAAAGATTTATTTTTAATATGGAAAGCAATGGGAACGCTTACAATCAATTTATACTATATTTTTTGGCTTTATACATTTATTTGAAATTGAAAATGTCTATAATTTTTAATGAAAATATTACTTAGCTAATAAGAGAAAAGCCAGGTAAAATTATACATACAATTTATAGAAATCTTATTCTTTTTTTTCTTGGTGTACAATGCTTGAACAATGCTCAGTAGAAATACTAAACATTTCTAAAAGAGATTTTTGAACATTATCATTTCAGATACTTTGAATAAAGAAAAACAGATGTTTACAGAATACATGTCATTGACTAATAACACATTGCCTAGAAATTGCTCTACATTACATAAAATTCTCTAAGAACCATAAAGCCATTGCCTAAGAGGTAGAATACAAATGGCAAAAGCTGTTATAAACTACTTTCAATAATGAGTGTATTGGTGAACTTCTGTAATCGTTTTAATGAAATGGATTACTGGTAATGGCACCTAACAAAATTACTTATTGAGTATTTTAAGAACCTAACATTAAAATCCTTGTATTCTTAAAAAAACAATAAAAATATCATGATAGAATTAAAAAATTACAACTTAATTTTTCTATCAATTTTTAACAAACTTCCTCTCCCCACACTTTTCAATATGGTTGTTCAAAAATGAAGAAAATAATTCAGAGTTTTCTATGAAATACGGGTACACAAAAAATTTTTTCTCTTTTTTTTTACACAAAAAATTTTTTAAAGATAAATTTCAAATATCAAATTTTTAATCTGATATTTTTAGTTATATCAGTTACTAATAAGACATCTTCACTCACTAAAGTATAAGTATGTTTAACAAAGAGTTAATCAAATGAACAAGTTTTCATCCAAAATTCAAAATTATATATTTTTATAAGCTCAGGATTTTTCTACTTCTCAACTATAAGTGAGGCTAAAGTGGAACAAAAAAACATTAACAAGATTCAAACAGAAAACATTCTCTTAAACTACTGCTCTCTCTCTTCTATAGTAACCCCAGAATGTTCATTTTAATAAAACTTAAATAAAATATTTGAATTAACTTACGGTGTTAACACATAAATAACATGGCAAACACACCTTTTCTATGACAGACCAAGGCTTCGACACTAGCATGAAGTTTCCTAAGTTGCTGATCCAGATTTTCAAATTGCTGCTGCTTTTCTTCAAACCACTAAGAAAAAAAAATGAGAAATGGAGCTAATTTAGCAAGAACAAACCACTGTAAATTAGGTTACCAATAGCAAGGCACATTCCTTATTTTAAAGCAACAAATTAACCATGTATAACCATGGTAGTCAACTGATGTGGCTGAGAACTAAACTCAATAAGCAAATTAATATCCTATTTTCTACTTGTACAGCTTTAAAATGCAATTGTTGGGCTCATTAATTCATCTCATTATTCAAGTCGAAAAATCAGCTCTTACTGCATCCGATTCATTCATCTTGATTGTCATTTTGTTGACAGCGTCGGCAGCCTTGTTCACCATCCTCAATATTCCTGCTCCACTCAGAGCCTGTGTGTTAACTGCTCTAGGCAGCTGGAATTGAATGACAAATAAGGGCAAACAAACCGGTTAAAAGCCTGGAGGTTTAACTGGGCACAAAAGGGACTGCACACCCTCACCCAAAGAAAAAAGAAAAAGAAAAAAAGGAGGTTGTATTTTCTTCACTCTCATACATTTCAATAGTGAGATCTAATTTCTCAAATACACTACTTGTACACTCTCAAAGGAAAACTTAAAAAATAGACTTTCCATTTGCTTTTCTTCTGCACGTTTACATTTAGATGGAACAACACACTGTTTGTCAAAATATATTAAGAAATTGCCAAGTACTTTAACATTGGCCACCTGTTTGCTTGCCGAAATAAACTTGTTTATAAGGAAAGAAGAAGAAAGTCTTGAGAAAAATCTCCTTATGCTCAGTTAAGGACAGTGTGATTCTGTATTTTTCAAAAATTCTGGGATTCAAATAAATTTTTAAAAAAGTTCAAAGGGTAGTACTTAAAACTCCAAACTGTGACGAGCCCCAAATGTACCAAACATCTCAAATGTAAGGAGTAGCACAGTCATAATTTAAGTTCTTCCAAGACACACATTTGCATTTCAGAACCTTAGTAAGAATATCAGAATGTAGACATACAAACGCATTCAAATGTCTCTAAAAGGAGGCCCCAATAAAATTATTTCAAAGTAATGCCTAAAGCAACAACTTGGGCATTGAGAATTAGACTACCCGTAAGTTATTCTTCTAAATGTGGTTTAAAATTTCTGGAAAAGAAACTGATCATCCTATAATTATCAGTGCAAGAAGGTATTTTGCTAGTAATTTAAATAATTAAAGCTAAGTAGACCACTAAGCCAAAAAAATCATTTTATTCCATTTACTAATCCAACTATTTATGGAATATATATTTTTACAAAAGTTATTAAAATAACAAACATAAATAATGAGAACATTCATATCATATGAAAATTTAAGGTAGAAATAATACCTCTGAACTTTCCAGGAACTGCCTTAAATCAGGATCCTGTAGTAAAGTTGGATGCTTTACTGTTCTTTGAAGATACCTAGATTTAAGAAAATATAATAAAAATTAGGTAATAAAACAATATCCTGTCTGCCTTCACATTAATTTATTTATACTTTTAATTAAAAGCAACTTAAGGATTAAAAAGCATTTTATCTTTTGCAAATTCGTAATTATAAAAAAAAGAGACATGGTAGGTCATGGAGGTGGGGGATACAGGGGAGGGTGAATAACTTACCAAACTTCACACTGCAAAGTATTAAGAGTTGTAAAAGGGTATATGAATTTGTTGAATATTTTTATCTTTTGGTGGAGTCACCATGTTCCCAGCTATTATTTCAGAGTCCCAACACACATATCACTGTATATATTCCAATCAACTATTTTATTATTCCTATTATTACCAAAATGGAGAAAAGTCTACCAGTTTTTTTCCTTGTCAGATTTAAATTATCAAATCAGTTTTGATCCTTATTTGACAAGGGCTAAATTTTCTTTAAAATTCTATCTTTAAAAAGGTTTTGCTAAAAGTTTGAATCATGTTTTTCTTATATGACATCACACAAAATAAAAATGACAAGCACAACCCCATTATTAATCACTATTAGCCCAACTTTGTTTTCCTGTAGTAGAAAGTAGAAAAGCCCAAATTTCCATCATCCATAAAAAGAAAAAAGGTCCACTATTTAATGATTGTTCACTTATCTAATCCCATTTTTCAAAAAAACTGTTCTTTCCCCAATGATTACATGTGCATTTCAATTACAGTATTTTACTTAAGTTAATATACCTTTATTCTATTTCTGCAGAACAAATCTAATCAGTAACTTCTTCTAACCTCATTATAAGATTATAAAATATGCCTAAAGTTTCAGAAAAACACTGGTAACTTTCTATAAAGTCAAATTCTATACAATGGTTAAGATGACTATTTTATCATGGCTTACATGTTAACTTCTGTTTTTATATATTCAAATAAACTTCAAGTCATTAGCCTTGATTAATAAAATATTACCACAGAAATACAGCATTTAATAGATATGTGCAAGACAACTACACCATGGCTTAAAAAATATACATACTGCCTATACTATCAGGCTAAAAACGAGATGCAACAGGAACACTAATTTTGTGTTAAAAGACAATGTTGGTATCTTCCCACCGGAATTTTACTTGCAATTTTAACACTCAAGTTCTTCAATACTGTTATTTACTTGTGTAGACTGTGTATGGCCAAGAGCAGCAAGTTGTTTGTCATAGAAGACAAAACATGTCATACCCAAACTTGGAACATCCCAATTATTTCAAACCTAAATGTAATTGCCTAATACCACTTATATTCTAAAACAGCTTTCCAAAGTGAGTTCCGTGGAATACTAGTCTCATGCAGTATTCTAGGAAAAAGAATGGTTTTACAATCAATAAAGTCTGTAATACATTACACACATATTCCTCTGGGTCATAATAGACAGCAGCATGTTAAATACTGTGAGAAGTTCTGCAGGAAATAAACCTGGTTTAACTTTGTTAAACTTTATGTTAACAAGACTCAATTGTCTACAGATTTTCCTTTTTTCACCCTACCACATATTAATATTCTGAGGAATCATTTTGGAAAATGGTATTCTAGAAAAAGACAGTAAAACTTTACTTCTGAAGGGTTACACAAAAGTAAACAGCAATCAACCATCTCTTTAAAAGTACTAAATTTACATAATGTTAAAATTAAGACTAGAAACATAAAAGATTTTTTGTTCCAGAGATAATTACCTTTTAATGTTTTTTCTAAGAGTGTGAGTATGTACACACACAAACTCAGAGGCTTTGGTTTTAACAAAAATATTACACCATTATGCTGCTTGTAGTCGTGTACCCTTTTACACAAAACAGTAAGTTGTAGATACCTTTCTGTAGCATTAAATATTATTCTCTAATGCCATTTTTATTTACCACATGAAATTCTATCATATAGATGTACTATAATGTTATTTTTTAATATTACAATGGCCACTACTTTGCTTTGCAAAGTACTATCACATTCAGTGGAACTTTGTTCTTCAAATTGGTTGTACCTAGTATGTCTACTTTGTTTTTCCCAATAGCACATTTTATATGAAAATTCCTTTTGTAAGTGGTGTGTTTTTAAATCAGACAATTAAAGGAATGGATCTGCATTTTTTTCTCCCTTCACAATCTTAATACCATTATCAATTTCAGCATTTCTTACGAGCCATGAAACTATCCTTCATGTTCATAATCCTTATGTTCATAAAGATGTCTATTTTTTCACTTTTTTCATTAAGTTTTTAATTCTAATTCCATTATAGTTTACATACAGTGTTATAATACTTCCAGGTGTATAATATAATGATTCAACAATTCTCTACATTACCCAGTGTTCATCATAGTTAAGTGTCCTCTGTAATTCCCATCACCTATTTCACCCATTCCCCCAACTACCACACCTCTGCTAACAAAGAGTGTAATATTAGTATCAGGTGTACAATTCAGTGATTCAATACTTCCATATTCATCAGGACAAGTGCACTGCTTAATTCCCATAACTTATTTAACGCATCAGCCCATCCACACCCCCTGTGGTATGCATCAGTTTGTTCTCTATAGTTAAGAGGCTGTTTCTTGGTTTGTCTTTCTCTTTTCCCTCCCCCCTTACTTGTTTTGTTTCTTAAATTCCACATAAAGTGAAATCATATGGTATTTGTCTTTGGCTGACTTAATTTCGCTTAGCATAACACTCTGGCTCCAACCACATCACTACAAATGGCAAGATTTCATTCTTTTTAAAGGCAGAGTAATATTCCATTTTAAACACACACACACACACACACAGACCCCTTCTTTATCCACTCATCTATCCATGGATGCTTGGGCTAATTCCATAATGTGGCTATTGTAAATAATGCTGCAATAAACATAGGGGTGCTTGCATCCCTCTGAATTAGGGTCTGTATTCTTTGGGTAAATACCTAATAGTGCAATTCCTGGATCATCAGGTAGTTCTATTTTTAATTTTTTGAGGAAATTTCATACTGTTTTCCAGAGTGGTTGTACCAGTTTGCATTCCTACCAACAGTGTAAGAGGGTTCCTTTTTCTTCACATTCTTGTCCACACTTGTTTGTGTTTTTGATTTTAGCCATTCTAACAGGTGTGGTGATATCTCACTGTAGTTTTAATCTGCAATTCCCTGATGATGAGTGATGCTGCATATCCTAAGATAGATTTTAAATTAATGAGTATTTGTAAATACTCACCATTTCAGTAGTAAGGTCAGAGAGGTTATAGATACATAAAGGATGGATGCAGAATAAAAAGGAAAATATAGGAAGAACACATGAAAAGAGGCATGGGGAGGAAGAGAAACACTAGAAGGAAGAAAGAAATGGAAGACATAAAGGAAATGATGAAAAGTTAGTATCACACTCAACGAGAGGTAGTTAGTTGTAGTTGTTTTTCACATTTGCTCCAAGGTAAGGTTACTGATAAATTTAGAAGAATCACTGAGGGTTTTAAGCTCCTATTTACTCATGGAAAATACAACAAAATAAAGCAGGTTATACAAAATTCAGAGGAACAAAGTTAAAAATATTTCTCTTGCTTGAAACTTAAACACATGTGCTAACAATGAGAGAACAGAAAGGCAGAAAAAGCCTCATCTTTGATGACATTCATTTGTTCCTTCAGCAAATATTTATTAAGCATTTACTAAATGTCATTTTCTGTTCTGAACACTCGGTCTATCAGTAGAAACTGTATTTTAGTAAGAGAAGACTGATAATAAACTATAAATACAATAAACACATAAATTATATACTATGTAACTAACAAGTTGGCAGATGCTATGGAAAAAGAAAGGATAGAACAGTAGAGCAAATGTGATCAAGTATATAAGGTATGGCTGGTGGCAATTCAAAGAGAACAGGTAAGAATGAAGCCAATCATCAGAAAAAGACTTCACTGGAAAGAGGACAACTTGAACACAGGAACTTAAAAGAGACAAGAGAATTAGCAATGCAGATACCTGGGAACAAAAGCTTTCAAGCAATGGGAGAGGCCAGTGAAAAAACTCCTAAGGTGGGAAAATGTCTAGGATCTGTGAGCAGCAGCAAAACATCAGCGTGGCCTGGAGCAGAGTGATCAAGGAGCGTATGAGATCAAGGAGGTAACAGAGTGAGCAGTGCCTGTCATGTGAAGTTCTGTAGGCCACTATAAGGACTCTGGCTTTTACTGAGTGAAATGGGGAAGGGGGCAATATTATCTGATTTATATTTTAAAAGGATGACTCTTATTGCTGTATTAAAAGAGTAGAGGTTCAAGGATGGAAACAAAGAGGCCAATTAGGAGCCTACTGCAGTTAATTCCAACATTTGGACTAGTATTGTATTGGTGAAAAATGGCTGTATTACAGATATCAGAAAGAAGCAACAAGATTTCCTGATGAACTGGATAATCCTAAGTACTTCCTGATACGAAAGAGTAGACTAATTAACCTATGCCAACTGTTTAGGCCAAGCCAGTTGAATTTTTGGGTGCTTGGAGTGAACACAATCCTGACACATCATAAGGTAAGTAAAAATGTATTTAAGTTAAATAACCTGCCCAAAGTCACACGGTATAGAGTGTGTAGTGGAGTACAGGCTGCAACAAAAAAAGGATGCTAAATCCCTTTCATGCAACTCTATACTTCCGTTTATATTTGCAGAACTGTATCCTTACCTATGATATAAACTCAATATGGTCTTAAGGTAAAATGTGAAGCACTCTCAAGTCTTAGGGACACACTTCCTACAAGTAGTTTCTGCTTACTTTAGTGAGTGTGCCCAGGAGAGTAGCTTTCTTAACCATTCCCTTTCTCTTCCTGTATTTTAATACTAGATGTTCATCCTTTCACTCAAGACAGTCATCTAGATTTTCTGAGTGGAACCAACAAATACGTAAATAGTTATAGTATATACAAAGAAAAATATTTCCCTGTCCTACCAGATTCAACTAGGTTAGGTATCCCACAGATAAGCCTATTCTCTAATTTTTAAATTTTAAGAAAACTGCCTTTAGAAAAAGCATTCCAATTCCTCTGCTTCTAGACCTTTACACCTAAATTTTCTTTAGTCATGATTTTTAAGGCAAAATGAATTTCTCCCTCCTATTACACTGTTTCCTTTTTTTTAACCTGCAAAGTCCACTAAGGTAGCATTTAAGAAGTAACATTTATCACTGAAGAAACTACTTTCAAATATCTAGCAGGTCAAGTCTCAGTATTTCTTTACAACTCTCCTCAATGTTTCATATTGCATAATGTTATGGTAAGTACTAGGCAATGCAGTCAAGTTGCAAGAAAGGTGAATGTAGAATCAAATTATATGCCCTAGGTACAATAAATCTTCATTAAGTTCCTTATCAAGCATGCCATCTGAAATATTTCAAATTTACTCATAGAAAAATAGGACTTGAAAGGTTTCTCAAAGGGTCATGGTTACACTTTCAGGAAGAACTAAGCAAAATTAAAACCAAACATTATCTACCCTTTACTCTTAAAAACATTCAGTCTATGACTTCTTTCATAACATAAACAATTCTAATGCCTAACCTAAACTTCTCTTGATGCAATTTAAATCCTTTTCCTGAGTAACTGCAATTCTCACAGACATAATCTCATCCTTTAAGTCCTCCCTAATATTAAGTTGCATATTCTTTAGCTTTCTTACTGTAAATTGTTCAAACCTTTTTTTCTGTGGCATTTTCTTAAAATGTAAACAAATTATAACTAAAACCCAGAAATAAGGTGTCTTAAAAAATAGGTTAAAAAATAATGTGTATCCTGGAGATAAATACACTAGTCCAAAATTCAATTAAAATAACAAACCAAAAAAACCTATGAAGTTAGAAAATTTGTATGTCTAGGTGATTACCAACTTCTGTTCTAAAAGTTGGGCTTTAAGATAGTTTCAAATTCGTTTTCTCAATTTTCAGCATAGCAAATAAGGAATAAAGGTTAAGATTCTAGGATTGGGATCCTCCCATTCATTCCTCTTTTTACTCTGTGACACTGAAGACAAGTCTTCAAAACTACAGGAAATGTGTCAAGTACTCTAAAAAAGGGTAGAGCAAATACATCAGACTTTAAGTATACAGTCAACTCAATAAATGACTAATACTATTATGCACTCAAGTCAAAATCAATTATACAAAATTAAAGGAGAAAGCACAAACTTAATTTTTTGTTGTATTTAATAATGTTCCTAACCACGTAATAATTCAAAGGAAAAATTACTTTAAATGAACTATAATTAGCCAAATTATGCAACACAGAACTTGAATACAGGTAGAACTTCCTAAGAACCTAAATATTACTAAATACTAAAAATTCAAGAGTTTATCAATCTTTTCGTATCTTTTTACAAGCTTGGCAGTTTTTTACTTCTCATGTGGACTATAGCTATGATACATTAATTCTTTTCTTTTCTTAAAAAAGATTTTAAATAATCTCTACACCCAACAGGGGCTCGAACTGACAACCCCAAGATCAAGAGTCGCGTGCTCTACCGAGCCAGCCAGGTGCCCCAAGATACGTTAATTCTATCTCCAACTAATTCATGCCTTTATAGTCCTGCTTATGTCACAGGATACAAAAATAGGTGTTATTCTGTTAGATACACTATTGCTAAATATCAATCCACTGTAAGGATTAAGAAAAGCAGAACACAGTATTGTATTGTTAAAAGAATTTTCTTAAAAGTATAAAGCACTCTTAGTATAACAGTCATGAAATGGTACTGTGAAAAAAATTAATCATTAAGATACAGTGTGCCACATAATGGAATTAGACTCCTATTACTGAAGTAAAAACATGAGAGTAGTAATGCACAGCTGTCCACAATTACCTTTCAAGAGCTGCTCTCCGTTTTTCTACAAATTCAGTGGATGATGAATCTTCTTTACCCACTTTGACCTTGGTCATGCCTTTGAAAAAAAAGAGAATGAGACACATGATAACTTTATGTTATTGTAAACATCTCTTAGTCATTTCTGCATAATTTAAAATACACTTTAAATTTGAACTTGACAAACAAAAGCTCTAAATTTATCACTAGTATCATACTTCTGAGGAATTAAAACTCATGCTATATCAACATCTCAACTTGGTAAGTACAACACAAAACCAGATAGAGCAGAGGTGAGCTGTGTCTGCAGTCTTCTTACCCGTTTGGGTTCCTCATCTGTTTGATATACTACACTCTTGGTAAATTAAAATGTGTTTGCATTTCAATATGCATAAAGAGATTCACATTAGCAAATTTAAGCTCAATTAATATTTTTTCTTTTTTTTTTTAAGATTTTATTTGACAGAGAGAGACACAGTGAGAGAGAGAACATGAGCAGGGGGAGTGGGAGAGGGAGAAGCAGGCTTCCCGCTGAGCAGGGAGCCCGATGCGGGGCTCGATCCCAGGACCCTGAGATCATGACCTGAGCCGAAGGCAGACGCTTAACTGACTGAGCCACCCAGGTGCCCCTCAATTAATATTTTCATTTCTTATAAGCAATGATTAAGGTTCTTTAGTTTGGGGACTAGAAAAATAAGTGTAATCCATGAATTTGCTAAATATTTTCCCCACTGTAGAGTCTGAGAACATGATGTTTATCATAGCTGGTTTTGTAATAGTTGAAACAACAAGTGCTTTCATAATTTAAAAAATAAAAATCATGTTAATCATTTCTGTAATGGCAATTTCAATTTTAACACTACTGTATCAGACTGCAGATTCTTTTTCCTTTCAACATCAATTCTGTAGAAATGAAGTACTGACATAGGCTACAACATGGATGAACCTTAAAAACATGCTAAGTGAGGCGCGCCTTGGTGGCTCAGTTGGTTGAGCGTCTGCCTTCGGCTCAGGTTATGATCTCAGAGTCCCACATCCGGCTCTCTGCTCAGTGGGAGGTCTTCTCCCTTTTCTTCTGCCCCTCCCTGTGCTCGTGCTCTCTCTCTCTCAAATAAAATCTTAAAAAAAAAAAAAAAATGCTAAGTGAAAGAAGTTTGTCACAAAGACCCATTCATTGTCTAATTCCCTTTATATGAAATGTCCAGAATAGACATATCTACAGAGAAAGCAATTGAGTGACTGCATGGGGCTAGGGGCTTGGGGATTAGAGGATGATGGCTAAGCGGTAATAAAAATATTCTAAAACTGTGGTGGTGTGTACACAACTCTGAATATACTAGAAGCCTTATATACTACATTGAATTACATACACTTTATAATTTTTTTAAGTAAGCTCTACACCCAACATGGCGCTTGAACTCACAACCCTGAGATCAAGAGTCACATGCTCTACAAACTAAGCCAACCAGATGCCCCGAATTATATCCACTTAAAATGGATAAATTATATGGCATGTGGATTATATCTCAACAAAGGCATTAAAAATAGGATTATGTAAAACCATGTAATTCTTATTCAGGCTGGTACATCTGGTAAATAAACATATCACCCAATAATGTTTTGTTTAACACAGTTCTTCTGAAATACAACTTTGAAAAAGAAAACCCAAACACCTAAAATTATCTATCCTGAATGGACCAACTGAAGTGGGATGTTAATTATTAAACATATTGTTTTCCTGAAAATATCTTATCACTATGCAGTTCTTTGCATTTTTCCCTTTAAGGATCTTGTGCTCATGCTACTTCCTACAAGTAACCAATACAGGCCAAAGCAGCAAATAAAAAACACTCTAATCAGTTAACTTCTAAAACTTTTCAACTTTGTTATTCTTTTCTAAAAGCTTAGTGAAATGGTGTTTTTAAGTTAACTAATCTTATAAAGGGGTAGCAATTTTGGGCTAATGAAAAGACTCTTCTTCCTTCAGGGGTAGTTACTTCCTTCAGGGGTAGTTAGAACTTTTCAGCGACGAAGGCAAGTTACCATTCCTTTTCTGCTATCCCACTTTAAGTGTTCAACACTTGAAAACCACTGCCTACATAATCAAAAAGGCCTCCCATATTTCAACAGTTTCTTAAGACAACCTATTCATTTTTATTTAAAAAAAATTCATGGCCAGTATGAAAAAATGACTGCCTCTCTATTTGGCTGGCTGCCAGGAAGTTCACAGATCAATTTTTTATCCACCTTTAGTGACTGTTCAAACTTTATGCATACATTTTGAAGAAACTGTTTAACTTGACTTCATCTTACTACGTGACTGTTTATTTTTCTCGCTAATTTCTTTATTTTGATCTTTTAAAAAAAACTGCATTATATGTAGTTGTCTCAAGTCCTTTTTGGAATAAAGTGGTATATAAATAAATAATTTTAAAAACTCAATCCACCTTAAATTACATTAGACAAGTCTACAATAACACAGCATTAGATTATTTTTAAAATTGGAAAGTTTTTTATTTTGGATAAAAAATAAAAGCAAGCCATAACCATAATTTAAAAATACCAAAATTAGAGGCAGACTAGAATAGTGATTAAAAATATAAGTTCTAGAGTAAGATGGCCTGTATTCAAAGCTCAGCTCTGCCTCTTAGTAGCTGAATGGCACGGGACACGTCACGTAACCTTCATGAACCTGCTTCCTTACACCTATTAAATAAGGACAACTGTCAGTAAGTTAACTTCATAAAGTTGCTATGAGGATTAAATGAGAGAAAGCACATTATTTAGTACAGGGCCATAGTACAGTAAGCTCTCAATGTTAATTAGTCCTATAATTTAACTGATAGCCTTACAATATAAGAGGCTATCTTGGCCATGTATATGGATAATACAAACAAAACTGTGTGACTGGCCCCTAATAACCCTTTGAAGGCTGTCAGAATCAGTTTCAGAAAAGGATGCTCTCAGGATTTAGTTTCTCACTTCTACTTTAAATTTACACATGCTATTTGTTATACTGTAATAATGTGTGGAAGGTTAACTAAGGCAAAATATTAGCCTGAAACATAATAAACGTGGGCATTAAAATTTACTTTTTTCAATTTTCTTTTCGGGGGGTGCTCACTGTTTAAGGACTAGATTAGCATGTTAGCCACCAAAATGAGAAAAAAAATTTTTTCCCTCTGATATATAAAATAGTTGCACAACTAAAGTCAAAGGAAGAAAGATAATAATAAATAATTTGTGATACATGGAACTTAAGTTCCCTACACAGAAGGACGCCAAAAGATACCACTGCAAAAGTTCAGAGGTAAAAGAAATAAGATTTACTAGGTTAGCAGTTCTCAAAGTATGGTGAGAATACCAGAAAGATTTCTGAGACCCTTTTTTGTATGGTTGTGGGGAAGTGTGCACCAAAGACTATTTTCATAATATTAAACTATTGTCTTTTTTATTCTCACTCTTTCATGAGAGTTCAGTGGAGTTTTACAAAGGTTGTAAGGTGTGTTATATCACAACAGAATGTAGAAACATACAGGAGAACGTAACTATTTCCTACTAAGCTGGAAATGAGATTTGGAAAACTGTAAAAACAAAAAATAAAGCAAGCCACTCTTATCACTAAACTTATTTTTGTCTTACAAATATTGAGTTTACTACTATTTCACATTTTTTTAAAAGTTTTTTAAAAATTTCATGAATTTAAGGAAACTCTACCACTAATGTGGGGCTTGAGCTCACAACCGAGATCAAGAGTCACATGCTCCACCAACTGAGCCAGCCAGGTGCCCCTAAAAAGTTTTTTATAATTAAAAGAAATCACAGAGAATATAACAAATGCATTTAAATATATCAGGTCTCAAAATCATTAAAGATACCAATAAGTGCTTTACAAACAAAATGTTTAAACAAACCCCACAATTTAAAGATCAGACACATTTTTTTATTTTCTGAATAATCTTACATACAAAGACAAAGTATGGTAAATAAAAACTCCTAACTGAAAACACTGGGAAAAACTACAAACTTTTAAGAGATGACAGTTAATGGGACAACAAATCATTCTCTTTTGTAATTTTCTGCATATTCTTTTTTAAAAAACTGAAAAGATTCATTTATTTTTAGAGAGCGTGCGTGCGGACATGCACCCAGAAGCTGGGGGAGGGGAGGAAGGAGAGGGAGAGAGAATCTCAAGTAGACTTCCCAATAAGAATGCAGCCTGACTAGGGGCTCCATTTCATGACCTTGAGATCATGACCTGAGTTGAAATCAAGAATCGGAGCTCAACTGACTGAGCCTCTCAGATGCCCCTCCCTTACTTTTAAAGTAAGCTCTACACCCAGTGTGGGTCTTGAGCTCACGACCCTGAGATCAAGAATCGCATGCTCTGCCAACTGAGCCAACGAGGTGCTCCCTTCTGCATATTCTTAACTAAGCCTTTATTACTTGTACAAGAGGAATTTTTTTTTGAGATTTTATTTTTAAGCAATCTTTACACCCAATGTGGGGCTCCAACTTACAACCCCAAGATCAAGAGATGCATGCTCAAACTGACTGAACCAGCCAGGCACCCACAGGTAGACATGTTTTTTAAGCATTAAAGTGAAGCATGAAATACACTAACATGATAGGTCTTAGAAGATCCAGACTGGATGGAATCTCCTTTCTGGACAATGAATAGCTGAAAGCCAAATACCTCCATCCCTGAGAAAAATGTTAATATGCTATTAATATTAAGTATCTTTTGAGCGTTACTCAGTAATATGACCCTAAAATGTTAGGGTTTTCAACTGCTTTCAACTTGGCAAATTCTAACCCAATATTTAACATCATTAGATTATATAAATCAAATCCTAAATTGATCCTATAATCAAAATCCTAAGATGTTAGAAAATAAAACTATTAGCTTATACATTCCTTAGTTGATGAATGATTATCATAAATGGTATATTTATTAAATTCAGTATCACTGGACATTATGAGTTATCATGATAATGAATGATCATAATATCCTAATCTGTATAGTTACAACTGAACCAGTAATAGTCACAAGTTCATACTTACCTACTATACTCTTTTCTGGAGCTGGTGGTACAATATAACCAACATGTAAATACTTGCTTGCTAATTTGCTATGCAAACCGAGAAAGTCACTGAATCTTCTTTTCACTGAAAATTCACTCTTACTGAACATGGAAAGAGAAGTCTACAAGTGAAGAAGAAGTATTTCACATTCTGATACGAAGCAGTTTTTTAGAAGTTAGTATCACATTAACTGTGAACATACACACACACACACACACTCTGGTTTACTTTGCAAAAGAATGCACAGTAGCTAACTAATGTGTTGGTAAATTTCTAACCAAAAAAACCCCCTACATTACCCATGTTTTTTTTTTTCTTACAGAAACTTAAAAAGACAAAATGTTTGCTTGACTCTATCCTTGACTCATCTCATCAACTCTAATTATATTTATGTTAATGACTCTTAAATCTTTCCCTCTGGCCCAGATCTCTGAGCTTCAGTCCAAGATATCAAAATGCCCAAGGGATACTTGCACTTAAATCTTGCTGCCACCTCAAATTCACCACATCTCTTGCTGGAACATAACCTCCAAGCGAGAAGGGCACCTGTTTGTATTGTTTCCTACTAAACCTCCATGCTTGGAATAGAGCTGGAGCCCATGGTAAGTGTTTAATGAATATTTCTTCAATGAATTAATAAATCTCACACCCTTCCAAACTGTGCCGCTTGTTCTCTGCGATTCCTCTGACAACCACGGAGATCCTCTAGTCAGTGACTCAGGCGTCTCTCCTTCAGTCCTTATATCCAAGCCCTAATGACTCTACCTCCTCCTACACAACTCAAGAAGCCACCATTCTAGCTTCAGAATCAATTCCTTAGTATAAAATATTACTTCTCACAGCTAGGACTGCTGTAGATCTCTCTCTTGTTTTAAGATCTAAGGCCTACAATCCTTTAGGTACTGCAAAGGAATTCACTGGAAATCCTGACCTCTACTTTTTGCTCCCAATTTAGTAGTCGGCGAGATCTTTCTAAAACAAAAATCCAATTGTGCCACATGCTTGCCTGAATCTCTTCAAATACTCTCCATTATACTAAGGATAAAGCCCAAATTCCTTAATCTGGCTGTTTATAAGATAGGGAGGCTACCACCAATTTTCAGTAGGCACCGTTTCCTGCAGATCCTGGAAAGCACAATTGTTTTCTTGACACCTCACCTTTGTAAAAGCAAACCCCTTTGCCTGGAACAAGCATTCTCCTTTCTCCGTGTCCTGCCCCCCATCACTTCCCCTACTTTTGTCTATATTAAGTCCCTTCCTGCATACCGCCATATAACACTTTACCTCTACTTTAGAGAATATTACACTTAACAAACTGCTCGTAACTCACTGTAACTACTTATGTGAAATCTCACTGGATGGTAACCTTTGTAAAGACAGGAAATCCTTAAACCTTAATCCCTGTTGTAAGCTCATACTACATATAGGGCTCACTATTTTTTTAAAGGAGCGAAGACTCACCTTTGTTGTTACTCTATAAGCCATGTAAGCATTCATGCCATCACCTATAAGAAAAGTCAAGCAATACTATTAAAAATAATAAGCTTAACCACACACACAAAAGGGTAACTATGTGAAGTAATATGCTGACTGACTTGTGATTATCAATTCATAACGTGTACATATATTAAATCATCACACTGCACATCTTAAATATATAAAATTATTTGTTAAACTCAATAAAGCTAAAAAAAAAATAAAATGAGAAACAAAAAAGCCCCACAAGCTTAAAAATAAAAGTATCATTTTAATACTTAACACTGCACTTAATAAAGAAAAACAACATATTAACAACCAAGGTACTTATCAAAAGGAAGCAAATTTAAAATATAGTAAATATTGACCCACCAACTTTCTCTGGATCTGATACACCAATTTCTATATCAAAAACATCTCCATTTGCTTCTTCTTCAATCTAGAAAAGGTAATTTTTTTGATGTTAAAGATTCCACTTTATATTATTATAACACTAATAACTTCAATTTTTACCATCTATCTTTTATGAGGGTCGCTGTCATAACAATTTAAAAAGCCACTCAGCACTGTTTCTGAAAAACAATAAAGCTTTCACATTTCCTTGACAATATTTAAACAAAAACAAAACACACAAATACACATATACAAAAGGGTCATCTGGAGAAGTTACAGAAAGTCTTGTTTTCTCACAACTCCTCAGATTTAGTCTTCTGTAGGAATACTGCAGAATTTTTTTGTTGTTCTTCTCTAAACCGAGTCTTCAGATTCAGATCATTAAACTAACACCTTAATTATTTTTAATATTAGCACTTTTCAAAGTTGTATCTCTACTCTTTAATGACCAGGAGGTAGCTATTACTTTTGCTGGTAGAACCCTACATATCTGTAGAAATAACTACACTTAGAATCTTTAGCATCATGATTTCTCTAATAACCTAGTAAACACATGCTCTTCTTGAAGCCAATGAAAGCATTATAAAGTTCATTGAAAAAAGCAGTAAGGAGGAAAAACAATAACCTTGTGAGACTGAAGAGAAGCACTTTTTAATGCCATTATAAATAAGCAATCCTAGGGGCAGCTCTGTAGGGAAGTCTTGTTATTCTCAAGAAGAGAGCATGGAAATTGTTAAATACTGAAACTATTCTGGAGTAATATTAATAGCCTAAGGCTATCTAAAAGAAAGTGAGTTTTTCTAACCATAATCTTTTTGTACATAATCTTTTTCTTGTACAGATTTTTAAGAAACTAAACCTTATTTGAACTGTAACATAAACTATATAAATCTTAAGTATACAGCTCAGTAACTTTCACAAACACCATTATTCACAGGAAGGCCCTCTTGTGCTTCCTCTCCATTCACAACCCATCCTGTACCTTGCCAACATAACCACTAACATTTACTGCATGATTCAACAAATAATGTCACTTTATTAAAGTTTTTAAGGCACTTTCATACATTTTCTCACTTGACTAACACAGAAACTCTGAGAGTCATAAATAAGCATCATGAGATCACAAATGATAAAATCCTTAAGAAGGAAAGTAATGTGCCCAAGTCACTGGGTTAAAATGTGATGAAGATAAAATTAGAAGCCAAATCAGCTGACTTCTTTAGTCTAATACCTTTTCCCCAAAGTGTCTAAAGGCTTTGATTAGAGATGACTAATAGGAGAGTGATGCTGGCTGGGGGAACAAAAAGCTTACTAATTACATATTAATTTAGAATACAAACATTTTCCCATACCTCCTCCCTGGATCTATCAAAGATCACAGGAGCAGACATACTCTTTGATTCAATTCTGGGAGCAATGAGTGTAGTAGGGGTCACAGGTGTGACTGCAGGAGAAGGTTCTGAAGACAGGATAGGTTCCCTTTCTGGACTATCCAGAGAAACTTCTTCTGTGGCTTCTAGATACAAATTAAACAAGTTAGTTTAGGACACTGATAACAAACCCCAATAGTCTATTTGCAGTTAATGAGTTATGAAAAATATTTTTAGACTACCCACAAAAAATATCACAATGAAGTTATTTAAAAATACTTGTTATAAATAGTTTAATGAATCCTTCCTTAGTTGTTCATCAATACTTTAAAACCAACAGTGACTGTTGATTTTAGGAAGAATTACAGTAAGTCAGCATAATTATCTATACTAGTGGTAGGGATAAAGCTAGTAGGAAAGCAATGATGTGGATAATTCCACATTCATTTGTGCTGGGTTTGTAATATATCTTATGCTTGGGGTAACTTACCGTTCAAAATTGTTTATTCAGGCTAACATGATTATTTTATACATACAAACACAAATTTTATGGCAATAGGCTGCCCAGAACAATCCCAGTTGGGATTAAAAATCTGTTATGGAAAATCCACAAAGCTAGCAATCTAAAGCAATTAACTGCTAAAGATTACTGAATATTAGTTGAAGACATGAATATGACACAAAGCAAACAGCTGTTTAAGTTTTAATTTAAAATGCTCATCCACTTGAAAGATCTAAAATTGAACATATTTAAAATCAAATCAAATCAATAAACTGACTGTCTACAAGCTATGTAACATTGTGCTAAATGCAATGGAGAAACACAAAGAAATGTAAAATATCATACCTGCCCTCAGGGAGTTTATAATCTAGTTGGGAAAATAAGACACAAGCATGTGGAATGTTAAATAATAATAAAAGACAAATAACAGCCAAGAGAACAATAAAAAGAATGTTAAAAGATATTTAATTGCTATATGAACTACAGAACAAACACTACAATTTGAGACGGGAGACAATACTTTAGGCTGGTGAAATCAGCAATAGTTAATGAAACTGATCTGAGAGGATCCGAATGGGTAGACAAAAAATGAGGAAAGAATTCTAGGAAAATGAAACAATAGCACAAATAAAAAGCAAAACCAGAAAAATGAAAATTACATTCAGTGGCCATGAAGAAAACCACAGTTCTGCGGGATTATAGAACTGATAACAAGAAAAGAAAGGCAGGGCTGTAAGGGAAACAGAATCAGACCAGTGGTTTCTAACCTGAGGTTCTTAGATTCCCAGAGGTTTGGGAAGGTAGTAATGGCAGTCAGTGATCCATTTTAATACCTCAAAAAGTATAGCAGTAACAACATATTTACCTGAAATAAGGTAAATAATGTTAACATTTACATTTAAATGTAAACAGGTCAACATTTTATCAATCTACTCTTACTGGTTTTCTCATGTTAATGAGATCCTTACTTGACATAGCTCTCTCTATATTTTTATAGTAAACCAGAAATCTTTCCAACTGTGATAACCAGAAGGAAAACAGATGATAGATGTAAAATAGACAATTAGACAATAAATGACCCTAATGTAAAAAACTAAAAGCCATCAGGCAGTTAAGACGGCTAGTATTTATTCGTTTTTTAAAAAAATGAAACCAGTGAGCAACTTAAGAAAATAAGAAAGCAGTGTATCAAAGCTAAGAGGTGTGAGATCTATTATCTACAAACAAGCAAAACAACAAGCAGTAAACAAAGAGAAATCTAAAATTCTCTAAAAGAGGTACTGCTATTGGCAACAGACCCAGAGACAAAGGGAAAGGCATATTAACTTTATTGATGTATCAGGACAGATAAAGTTAACTTTTAAGTTTTCAATCACATTTTACTTCACTGAGAACAGATTTTGTGTTCTTTGCAAGGACTCTGATAGGCTGTTTCATAAATAATAAGAAACCTCAAAGTAAGAAAAGCTAATATGAACTAAGTAGCTAACCTGGAGGAGGAAAATGAAAATGGGTGTTTAGATTTAGCATCCTAATATAGAGTCTGCAGCTTAAAGTCTTCTCATAACTTTTAGCTAAGTAAACTAACATACTACAAATTCACAAATCTTAATTTAAACCAGACCTGAAGGTTCCAGGAGATGCCCCACAGGTTTTAAGTATAAAGATGAACTTTTCCTGGGAAGAGATACTTTGAGGACAAGTATAAACTGATGATGTCAATGCCAGGGAAGAAATATTTCACTCATAACATAGATACCAAAGAATTTTTTAAACAAAGGAATACTCATTAAACTTACAATTTGTATCCTTTGCTGAAATGTGTAAGTGAAGTAAGCTAAGAACTCTGGCAGAAACAAGATTTAAAAGTCCAGGACCATTTCAACATTGGCAATTTGCTCACCCTCACTTACTCCTCTATGATCCTTTCTTGATGTTCGGTAAAGCTTAGTGTGAAGGATGTAACAAATGATGGGGGCGCTGTGTAGTCAAGTCTATTTGGTGAAGGCTCTCCAAGTAAACCAGTAACAGTAGTATGTCACACTCAAATTTTCTGGCACCATGTCTAACAAAAAAGTACCTGAAATGCTACCCAAAAGGTACCAATACTATCTAATCTCTTCATGGTTCTAAAATCAAAATGGCTAGATCCTTAGAGCAATATTGATATTCTCTCCTCTAAGATAGGGGAAATAAATTAAGCACATGTTATTAAAACCTGACAGTAGTCTTCACCATCCTGATAACATATGCTACTCTTTATTATGGTTTCTAAGAATCATACTCCTCCATGGAGGAATGACATACATGCTTAAAGGCATTAAAGTAAGAGGCAAGTGTAGTATTAATCCGTTCACATAAAAACGACCAGATTAGGTCTTAGAACACCTAATGATGTCATTTTGAAATACACCTGAGTTTAAGATAAAAGATTAAACATAAGAGGCGCCTGGGTAGCTCAGGTTAAGCATCTGAATCTTGATTTCAGCTCAGGTCATTGTCTTAACATTGTAAGATCAAGGCCCTCCCCATCCCCAAAGTTTCTATGTTTGTAGATAGCAAAGAAAACAGAAACAGATGACTATGTTTATTTTTCAGTCCACGTGTCTTTTTTATTTTATTATTTTTTAAAGATTTTATTTATTTGTGAGAGAAAGAGAGAGAGCGTGAGTGGGAGGAAGGGTAGAAAGAGAGAGGGAGAAAATCTTTAAGCAGATTCCTTGCTGAGTGTGGAGCCCGATGCGGGGCTCAATCTCATGACGCTGAGATCATGACCTGAGTCAAAACCAAGAGTTGGATGCTTAACCGAGTCACCCAGGTGCCCCCCCCTCTTTTTTAAAACAAATACTAACGCTGGCGACCATAACTGAAAGACAGTATTTAGTATAGATTGCTAGGTAGAGTAAAACATGGAAAAGATTTTTCTAATCAAGTCAAGTGGGCAAATATCTTGGTACAGTCCTCACTTGGCAAACCGATCAGTTGTGCATACTGTTAAAAAAAACAACAAAACCCTCACATAGTTCTGTTGTTAGCTTCAGCATACTCCTTATGTATGAATTCTAAGATTTCAAGGGGAAAGGGTCTTTTATGAAATGGATAATCTGGAACTTCTATGTATAACTCTATACTATTAGAGGATTACACACAATTTTAGATTAGTACTCACTAAGGAGAGAAAGCAGTCATGTCATCTTTTAGTTTAACACATAAATGCCATAAAAAAACTTTGAAGGGCTGCCTGGGAAAAAGTCCATAAAAGAAAACAAAAACGAATATTACAACTTTGGTTAAACGGTAAGTTGTTAGGTAGCTACTAACTAAAAAAACGAATGGGAAATATGATTGGTACTTGGTATGGTATTTTAATTTTTCTGACATGAAATACACGAATTCATCTGTAGTAAAAACTTTTCATAAACCTAATCAAGCAGGAACTCACATGGACCTTTGTCATAGAGAATTGTATCTTCAAACATATTTATACAAAAAATAAAGAATGGTTCAAATATGCAACTACTATAAAAGCTGAGGACACATTATTGAATTTTAACGCAGTGAAGACCAGTTCAGGTAAATTAAGTTGTTAAACAAGATTTACTACTTTAATTTTTTGAGTCATTAATTCTAAAAAAGATTTGCCTTTCAATACCCAAACATTAACTTTTACCCAAGTTTTAATGTTAAAGTAGATATAACTGTTTTGAAGAGAATGCAATTTTTTTTAAAGGTAGGACTACACCAAATCCTGCTCAGGAAAATAAATTCCTCAACCATCAATTTACTCACCCAAAAGTGAATCAAAATACAACAGGTGGTAAATACTGAAGTATTTTATTAAAACAAAGAGATTTTAACTGACTTTAAAATCCAGAGTTTAATTCTGCTTGTGACACCTATAACAAAGATTACAATCACTGGTATTTCTCAACAACCATTAGTTTTTTGAGTGTTAAGTACTGATCAAAACATCAAATTATAATATGTGATTTATTTTCAAATGCTTAAAACCAGAAAGGACTACATATTTATTTCTCTCAATAGTCTATATTTTTCACAAAGTGATCTAACTGGAAATTTCCTATCCTTCCAAGTTGGTAAGAACTACCACTATACCTTACACAAAATTTCAGTTTTTCAGGTATTTAGAGAATATCTTGTAACAGGAGATAGTAGACTATTACTAAAAAAATTAAAGATATTCATAATTACCTGCAAAAAGATCTTCTCTGTCGTCATCTAGCACTACCTCTGCAGGTTTTGGACCATTTGAGTTTGGACTCACATCTTCTGCAGGAAGACTAGCTGGTTCTGGAGATGATGGACTTGACTGTTAAAGAAACCAATAATAGATGATGGATTAGCAGTTAAGAGTTAAGATTGGAGTTAAGATTTAATGGAGTTAAGATTTAACTGTTATAATTACATCTCTCTACATTATAGAAATAGAACATTCTCTTGATAAAAAGGGAAGAAAGAACAAGAAGAGCTATTCATAGTACCTCCTTTAAGGGTAAGAATAAACCAAAACCACATTTTTATTCATTTTCCTTCTTAACAAAAAGGCACTTAAGATTAAAAAAATCTTTTCCAGTCATCCCTTTAGAGATACTAATTTGTCATGTTAAGTTATATTTAACAAAAATGTAATGTTTTACAGCCATATATAACACTGATTATTTTACAATAGTAAAAAAACCAGATCTTGAAAACTTGTTGCATGTATAATAAGTTCAAAGTATTCCTTTACTGTTAACAGAAAAGTTTAACAGTAGCTGAATTAAGTCTACAATTATTACAAAATTTTCATGGTTTAAAACTAAAAATACGTGGGCACCTGGGTGGCTCAGTTGGTTAAGCGACTGCCTTCGGCTCAGGTCATGATCCTGGAGTCCCGGGATCGAGTCCTGCATCGGGCTCCCTGCTCGGCAGGGAGTCTGCTTCTCCCTCTGACCCTCTTCCCTCTCGTGCTCTCTATCTCTCATTCTCTCTCTCAAATAAATAAATAAAATCTTTAAAAAAAAAACAACTAAAAATATGCCCTTTTCCCAAACATTTACGTTTCAACTGAGTTTAGGGACCGTTTCTGTATTTCTTAACCCTAAAGTATAATGAGTAACATAAGAGAATCTAGACTGTGAATCTTTTAGCTTTATTATAGTTTTCTTATAATAGTTAAAACCAATACTTAAAAAAAAATCACATAAAAATGACAGTGTGTATGTCAAAAGTGCACAGCTGGATATTTTCACAAACCAAACACACCCGTGTAACCAGCACCCAGATCCAGAAAGAATATTATCATCAACCCCAGAAGCTCTACTCCCATTCTTATCCTCTCCCCACCGAAGCTTCTCTCACCATGCATTAGTGTTCCCTGTTTTTGTTCTTCATAAAAGTGGAATCATACAGAACATATTCTTTTGTTTTTGTTCTTAATGTCATGTATTCAAGATATCTCCATAATGTCGTGTGTAGTAATAGATCACACATTCTTGTTCCTGCAAAATACTCCACTGTGTAAATATACCTCAATCAATCCATTCTATTATTGATGGACATTTGAGTTTTGTACTACTATCAATAACGCTTGTATAAACTTTCTCATGTATGTACCTTAATAAATGAACAAATTTGTGTTTGGTATGTATGAGTAGAATAACTAGATGACATGGTAGGTGCTTTAGAAGATAGTCTTCTAAAGTGGTTGCATATTTTACACTCCCACCAGCAACATATGAAAATATCAGTTGCTCCACATCCTTGTCAACATTTTGATAACATTCCATCTTTTCCATTTTAGCTATCATGGTGGCATAAAGTATATCTTGTGGTTTGAATTTGCATTTCCCTGATGAACAATGATGCTCAGCAATTTTTCATGTTAAATGGCCAAATGGTTAAATACCTTCTCTTTTAAAAAAGTTTTTATTCATTTATTTAGAGAGAGCGCACACATGCATACGGATAGAGGGGGAGAGGGAGAGGATCTCAAGCAGACTCCACTGAGCACAGAGCCCAAGGCTCAATCCCACAGCCCTGAGATCATGACCTGAGCCGAAACTAAAAGTCAGACACTTCACCAACTGAGCCACCCAGGCACCCCTTGAATATCCTCTTTTTTGAAAAGTGTCTTCAAGTATTTTGCCCATTTTGCTATGGTTCTTAGTGACTTGTACGAATTCTTTATGTATTCTGGATACAAGTTCTTTGCCAGAGATGTATTTTCTCCCAATCAGTGGCTTGTGTACCCACTTTCTTTTTATTAAAACTTTTATTTTTAAGTAATCTCTATACCCAATGCGGGGCTTTAATCCTCAACCCTGAGATCAAGAGTCAAATGCTTCACTGACTGAAGTAGCCTGACACCCCATCCCACTGTCTTAATAGTGAATGGAAATTCTCCATTTTACTAAAGATAAATTATCAATTTTTCTTTTTATGATTAGGAAACTTTTTGTACGACAGTCTTTTGAAGTCATTCCTAATTCTTAAGATTTTCTCATTAACTTTTTAAGTAAACTATCCTCTACGGCATAATGACATTTTTTCATGGCTTTCAAAAAGTTTCAATTCTTTTTAGAGAGAGTGAGTGGGAGAGAGAATCTGAAGCGAATTCATGCTGAGCACAGAGCCTGATGTGGGGCTTGATCCCACAATCGTGAGATTACAAGCCGAGCTGAAACCAAGTCCAACGCTCAACCAACTGAGCCACCCAGGTGCCCCCAGTTTCAATTCTTTATAGAATTTATTTATTTATTTTTTAAAAGATTTTATTTATTTATTATTTGAGAGAGAGAGAGATTGAGAAAATGAGTAGGAGGAAGGGCAGAGGGAGAAGCAGACTCCCTGCTGGGCAGGGAACCCAATGTGGGGCTCGATCCCAGGACCCTGGGATCATGACCTGAGCCGAAGGCAGACGCTTAACCACCTGAGTCACCCAGGTGCCCACTCTTTATAGAATTTAAAGGACAGGTTTTTTTTTTTCTCTCAGGAGTTCATTCTTAGAGTCCCAAACTCTCACAAAGGTGGGACTCCACTTACCACAGCAATTTCACTTGAAGGAATTTAAAAACAACTAAGCTTATACATTTTTCTTCTGGAAGATGTTCCAACAACCTCAACCTCACCTCTAGCTGAGTCTGGTTAGGTGAATGGCCTATATGCTCCTACAGAATATCTACTTCTCCTATCATAATTTTTCTTACCACACTATAATTATTAACTATTTATAGATTACAAACTCTGTAAGGAAAGGAGACTACCTTCTTTTGTTTACTAATTTTTTACTCAGTTCCTGGCTGCAAATGCTCAGTGACTGTTAACTGAATTCCAAGAAAATAATTATGAATATGCCTAAGAATTGGCCCCAAGTTTGTCAATGAGATTATCTATAACACTGAAAAATTTGAAATAGCATAAAGCACATTTACATAAAAATGTGGCAGAGTAGTTTCAACAACCAGGCATGATAAGAACTCTCAGCAAACAAAAATAGAGGGGAACTTTATCAACTTGAGAAAGAATAGTTACAAAAACCTGTATCAACTATTTTTTTTCTTTTTTTAAAGTAAGCTCCACAGGACGCCTGGGGTGGATCAGTCGGTTAACTGTCTATCTTTGGCTCAGGTCATGATCTCAGGGTCCTGGGATCGAGCCCTGCATCAGGCTTCCTATTCAGCGGGAAGCCTGCTTCTCCCTCTGCCTGCCACGTCCCCTGCTTGTACAGGCATGCGCGCGCATGTTCTCTCTCTCTCTGACAAATAGAGAAATATATAAATCTTAAAAAAAAAAAAATAAAGTAAGCTCCACGCCCAATGTGGGGCCTGAACTCACAACCCTGAGATCAAGAGTCACATGCTCTACCCACTAAGCCAGCCAGGTGCCCCCTACATCAAAGTTAATGGTGAGAAACTGGAAGGTTTCCCACTAATATCACGAACAAAACAAGGATGTCAACTCTTGCCACTGCTTTTCCACATTGTACTGGAACTTTTAGCTAATGAAATAAGACAAGAAAAAGAAATTAAAGGTATACAGATTGGGAAGGAAAAAATAAAACTGTCTTTGTTCAGAGATGACATCAGTGTCTAAGAAAATCCAAACAAAAAAACCTCTCAAAACTAATAAGCACTTATAGCAACATTGTAGCATACAAGGTTAGGAAACAGAAGTTAATCAATTTCCTACATAGCATCAAGGAAAATAGAATTTCAAGTTAAAAACAGTAACATTTATATTAGCACCCCCAAAAATGAAATACTTAGGTATAATCTAAGAAAATATGTGCAAGATCTATATGAGGAAAACTCCAAAATTCTGATGAATGAAATCAAAGAGCTAAATAAAAGGAGAGATATTGCATGTTCACGAATAGGAAGACTAAATCTTTTAAGATGTCCATTCTTCCCAACTTGATATAGAGTATTTGATGCAATCCCAATCAAAATTCCAGAAAGTTATTTTGGGGATATCAATAAAATGATCCTAAAGTTTATTCAGAGAGGCAAAAGACCCAGAATAGCCAAAAGAACACTGAAGGAAAAGAACAAATTTGGAGGACTGAAGCTACTTGACTTCAAGAACACTTGACTTCAAGCTTATAGTAATCAACATAATGTGGTAATAGATTAATGGAACAGAAAAGCCCCCAAACAGACCCACATAATACAGTCAACAGACCTTTGCCAAATGAACAAAGAAGAACAGAGAAAAAATAGTCTCTTCACAGCAAACAGTGTTGGCCTAACTAGACATTCACACGCAAAAATATGAATCTGCACAGAGACTTTACACCCTTCATACAAATCAACTCAAAATGGATTACATACCTAAATGTAAAGCATAAAAGTATAAAATTCCTAGAAGGTAACAGAAGAAAATCTAGATGACCTTGGATTTGGCAGTTAGTTTTTAGATAGAATAACAAAGGCACTCTTCCATTAAAGAATTGATAAACTTCATTAAAATTAAAACTTTTTGTGAAAGATACTGTCAAGAAAATTAAAAAACAAGCCACAGACTGGAAGAAAAATAGAAACATGTTCCACATCATATATCATCAGGGAAATGCAAATTAAAATGAGATACCACCATGCCTCATGATAGTATGTACACCTATTAGAATGGTCAAAAATCTTTAACTCTAACAACACCAAATGCTGGCAAAAGGAACTCTCTTTCACTGCTGGTGGGAATGCAAAATAGTACAGCTAGTTTGATAGTTTGGCAGCTTCTTATAATAACTAAAGATACTCTTATCATACAGTCCAATAATCACTCTCTTTAGTATTTATCCAGAGGAGCTAAACATTTATGTACACACAAAAA